GTTATGAAATATCTAACTTGTTCTTTGTAAGACAAGGCACTATCATCTACAGCGTGAAGCTTGCTGGGTTGCTGAAGGTATTGAGGGCAAGGTGAGACTCCATGTATTAATTCAGACTGTTTCCTTATCAGGTCCAAGATTCTGTGCCAGACAGCAGTCCATCTACAGATGAGTGAGCGGGAAATGGAAAATTGTATCATGTACTTTTCCAACAGTATTTAAGTGTACATGAGGCCAAAACAAATTTATTCTGATCTTTGTAAACAGGTAGTAGCCTTTTGTTGCAAAAGAGGGGTATTTCCATGGTGCAAACTGGATGTGATTACCGTATGATTTTTTTTTTTTTTTTTTTTTAGAGAGAGCCATTTCAGCTTGCACTGAAATTTTTGCAGAAGAATGCCCTCATGTAACATCCCTTCTTTCTAATTACAGACTGTAGGATCCTTAGGAACTGGAAATCCAGCAGAGAAAGCATTTGTGGTAGAATTAGGTGTTGAAGCTTATGCAGTTTTGAATCCGCCAAAAAAAAAAAAACCCAAACCCAGAACTGAAAAAAGTAACAAAGAACAGACTGTGTTTGATTACCAGGCTATAAACCTTAGCATGCAGTGCTTAAACATGGAGGAACAAATTTTCTAACAGGCTGGTGCTATTGTGGAAAGATGGATTTGAGCCAGACTCCCAGATTTGAAACCCCATGAACTTCAGTAGGCCCAGGCCAATCCTTGGCTTAGGTTCATCTCAAACATGGCAAACACAGAAAAGGTATTTGAACATTCACAGTAGCAATTGGAGATCCAAAAGGGGAAGGTTCATGCATAATCTGTGCACTGTTTGCACACACAAGGGGCATATCGGTGCCAATATGAACATTTGTCCCCTTGATCATTATGAGAGCGTTTTTAGAGCATCTTTGAAAACACACTGCAGCATAACACGGAGGGAATGTTTCTGGCATGTATCCTCAGTACCTGAATCTGTTACTAACTAATCTTTTTAGTGGGAAGAGCTTTATATGGCTTCTCTAATTTTACCGAAATAATTAATCTCTTGCACATTGTCCTCACGTCTGTGGTCCCCTCTGACAGCCCTTTCCTGTAACGACAGCTGACGTCAGGTTCCTGGGTCGCGTGGTGGATTCCTGCTCAGAGGACAAGTGGTTTATTACAGGTTTAAGCAATACTGCCTTCTGAATGGGCATGTAGTGGGTAGATTTCAACAAATTATTAGTTATAGCCAGAGCAACCAGAGAGATTTATGTGCTGGTTTTAATAAGCATTGTACTCATTTGTTTGCTTTCTCTTTTGCAGCAGAGTAAACTCTGGTTTCCTGTGAGTTGTGCAGCTGCTGTAAATGGTAACAAGACAGCAGTGCCAGTCACAGTAGTGGCTGTGATTGAGACACGTATCCTGCACTTGCTGTATCTGAGGGTTGTGTCTGGAGCTGGAGAGGGGAAAAGTTTAACATGAAAATGAACTACGTGCAATTACCGATCTATGGGGAAGCTCATAAGGGATCCAGCTGGCAATGGCACTGGGTTGTTAAAACTGTTCTTCTGAAGAAACTAGAAGAAGAAATTAAAAAAAATGCACATGTGCACTATTCAGTTAGCAGAAGTTGTCAGAGCATGCTAGAATATTTCTTACTAATAAGAATATATTAACCGCCAACTTTTACATCAAATGTACTTTGTGCGTGTTTCCTCTGGAGAAACCTAAATATGCATTTATCACCGAGGTAGCAGGACCAGCGTAAAAGCTGCAGGAACACATGGAGATAAGAGTATTTTATGGTTCTGTGACAGAGCTATCATCAGAGCATGCCACCTCCTTGAACTGAGCTGTCTGTATGACGCTGAGTTGTGATTTATACCAGTTTGCTTGACTGCAGTGTGGGACCTGCCAAGGTCCATCACATGAGCAGCTGCAGCGAACTGTAGATGCTATTAAAGCAGGTGGAAGATGATTTTGCAATTCCATGCTGGCAGAAGCAGAGCAGGGTGAGTCCATTCCCTTCTCACAGTCAGGTGTGGAGTGACAAAGAGCCTGGGGAGAAATGGCTGTGACTTTTGTCTTGAGACCAGGTGACATTGCATTGTTGCAGTTGCAGATTGTCACAGCAATAAGAAGTCACAACAAATAGTGTGGTACAACTCCAGCTTGTCGCAACTTCACTGTTTTCCGTCTCCCTGCACTTCTTTAGAATTATCTGGTAAAAGCTAAGTGCTGTAAGTCTGGGTCTAGAAATGAAGAAGGTATTTTTGAGGAGTTAGCACAAAAATAAAAAAGGGTAGTGCTGTATCCAGATTGCCATCATTAAACAGGAGAGCTCTCCAAACAGGGAAAGCTCTTAGCGCTGTGTGTGTAATACTGCGGGCAGAAACAGGCTGCAAGGACTTGGGAGTATTACCCTGTTCCTTTCTCCAAAGCTAGCATTTACCTGTGCTGCATCGCTGCATTGGTAGCATACAAATCGCACAGCGGGTTGTTTCCCAGTTTACTCTCCCAGGTACGCTCTACACACCTGGTGACACCAGTATTAGGAACTTAAAAGCTCCACCAGTGATATGAGCCTGGTATGCCATGTCTCAGGAGATCCCTCTTTTCCCACGGAGTGCACCGACAGGCTGCTTTGAGCTAAATTGAAACCTTTTGTCCTTAGTCTATTCAACTATAATTCTTCCTCTTTTTAATATAATTTGATCATGAACTTCTAGTAATACATGAGACAAAAACTGCGTGTTCGTTATCAAAATCTGTGCTATATTGTTAGAGCTCAACAAGGTTGATACACGGACGACAGACTATTGAAACAAGTTGCTGAGAGGGCACTGTCGTAATATCTATGTTAGAAACATTTCTCTGACTCATATCCCCACATACACCCTGCAGTGATTTTGTAAGTCAGAGCAAAATTTAGACTACTGTTTGTTATCTGGTACATATTTCTAAGACAATGCCAAACAAAAAGCTAAATTTAAAAACTATTGCTTTTGTTGTGGGTTCCAGACATGCCAAAGAAGCATGTCTCGGCAGTTTTAGGCTTAGCAGCCACGTGATTGTGAAGTGTACTTATTTTTATAGATGCTCTTGGATGATAAAAACTGAGACATTTCTGTTAGCTAGAGTTACGTTTTCTGTCACTGCTTTTTGATTATTAGTGTCGCTTCAAGAATTTGTATTGCATATATATATATATGCATGCATATATATATAATACATATATATGACTGAGCTGGGAAGTATGGTGGTATGAATTTTGCTAGCTCACACCTGGAATACATTTATATTATTATATAGCCCAGTGCTCTGAATTGAAGCATCTTCAGGAATTGCTCCCAGGCTTGCTAACTTCTTAACCATCTGAGATATACCTTGGAGATACGCCAAATGACACAGTCTGACCTTTTGTCGACAAGGATGGCTTTCCTCCAGAAGTAGTTATCTTTAGTATACCTTAAGAATAAAATGCTACTGCCTAGTCCCTTATCTAAAATACTGACCTTTAAACTGTTTTCTAGTGATTTTATTCCTATTCATGGATGGAGGTAAATATTTTCAGTTAAAGTAATTCTGAAATTAATGTTTGGCGGTAGGATTATTTCAGAACTTAATTTTTTGGACAGAGACTTTAAGTAAATCTGTGAGGGAGACTTTGAATGTATTCTGCATGATTTCTTCAATTTAGTCCAGAGAGGGTATGGTATCTTATATTGCTGTAAACTTGGCTGGTTATATCACAGTAAAGACTTAGGTTTATATAGTTCCAGTTATTGGAAGATAACCCACCTTAAACTTGTAGGTTTGCTCATGGCCATGTGTTGTCAGTGCTGGTGGCTGCCATTTAATTGTCTAGCAGCAGTTCCACTGCATTTCTGTGGCCCACTGTCACTTTTGTGGCTGTATCCATCCCCAAAGCATTGTGGATCTGGGCCAGTGATACATTTCTAGTTTGTGTTACTGATGTGCAAGATTTTATAGTCATCTGTTAGCAATTGAGCTGTAGATGCAAAAGTCCATTCTGTTATTTGTTTGGCGATAAACAATAGGATTCTAGGTGATATCCTGTACCCTGCTATCACTGATCTGAACCTATCTGTAGTAATCACTGCCTCTTGTTTTGTATCAGGAGAATGGAAATATTCATCTGTTATCACCTTGCTACCTTTGTTTTTTAATAAAGACCTCCCCCAACTTACTGTAGGAGCACCAGCCCAATGCTCCCTTCATTCTGTTCTCTCGAGATGACTTGGTTGCTGTCATCCCTTTTCAGTGCTGTGTCTGTGGGGTGAGGTTCTGAGGTTTGTAGTCAGCTTATGCTGATGAGCAGGGTCCAGCCATGGACCTTGCATAGACTCATGTTGCCGTTTGGTGAGCGAGATCATCTCACTGATCCGGCTGAAAATTAACTTTAAAAATATGCTGACATGTCAGTTTTTGATCAGCTCTTAAAAGGGCCCCACCACAAGTGCTGCTGTGACATATCCTGTATTTTGGCACAAGGAGGAAAGCTTAGTCGTATGTATTCCTCACCGTCACTGCAGCCCTGAATATGTGAGTTGGTGGTACAGTGAGAGCA